GAAAGTGACAAGAACTAGAAAGAAGCATCCTTGAAGAGAATCATGTATCAAGAATGCTGCAGTACAAAGACTTTGGCGAACTATAACCCATCTGATAATTGAAAGCTTAGCTAACAGTGCTTCTACATCTGTATAAAGTGGATTTGTGAACCTACCTTTAAAATAAAGGTTAACATAGATCAGTAAAACAGGAGAAAAGAAATTAAACATCTTATTGAATCTGCAAGTCAAAGTTCTAATTGTTTTTGTGGGTGTCGTTTTTTAGACAATAGGATAGACCCGCCACTTGCAATTTTGATTTTATTTTGATGGAAAGTAAACCTGCTTTAGTAATTTAGATTTCAAACCATTTTATAACAGGATCATACTAACTTTCAAAGGTGCTGAATGGTATTGTTCAGCAGAATCATAAGGATATTTCCTCTTTTTCCCTCTGTGTTACTTTTCCCTTTATTCCTTCTCTTCAGAGTCAAGCGGAATGAGGGGAGGAGGACAGGGGAGAAAGAAAAGGGTTGGGGAAGAAATGTGCAAGGAATAATTTACAAAAACATATTCCGTTAAAGAAAATGTAACAGAAATTGAATTACCAGTTAATCTAATGGTTGCTGTAAAGCCATCAATCAGGCTATAATAACTTTGAGCACAAAGCAGGAACTCCATCATAAAGGACCAAAAAAAGAACAAAAAAAAACCCCCAACAAATCAACAAAACCAAGAACACCCTACCCCCCCAAACCCACGTGCATAAGTTTCAGGTGGCATCAAGACACACTTTGTAAGATACACATGGCTTTGTGTCATTTCCACCAGGTTTTTGATCTTCTTAGACCCAAGAAATTATCCAAATAAAAGTTTATAAAGATGGATGTTTCCCATAGAAAGTTGCATTGTTTACAAAGCAGAAATTTTCAGATGAAAATACACAGACTGCATCTTCTGCTGAGCTTATTGCTGTGCAAACTGCCATAATCTTCTAAGGTATCCATTCCTCGGTGTGCCATTATTTTAATAGGATAGAATTTCAGCTTTTTAACTATATTGGCTGGCGGGATCTGGAGGATTCAGCAATGCATGACTGCTATAAAGCATACTTAGTACGAGAATAAAAGCATTAATCATGTTCCCTCTCCGCCATGCCTTCTCTCAGTTTTCTTCTTAAGCAGTGTTGTAAGCTGAGCAGCTTTTGGAAACGACTTCCTTATTCGGAACAGAGGTATTAAAGGATTCATTACGCCTTTCTGGCGGTGTCTGTGAGGCCATTTTATAGCAGCTGTCCATTACATCTGGTTTGTTATCTTAAAGCTTAACTCCATCCCAATATGAATGCTTTGCACTCATGGAACATGTTTTTACTCAGCTTTTCTGTTAAGTCAAAGTAGGGCTTTTCTCTCTTCTGAAGAAGAGCACAACTTGACTCATGTTCTTGGACTAGTTTCAATGTACAGTGTTAAGGAATAGATGGTCAGTGAGGACTCTTGGGTTTTGTTACTGTCTGAAAAATTCTATCAGATCCTGAACACCAAAGTAAAGGTAATCTTGATTTGAAATTCTTATTGTTTTTATCAGTTGAACTCCATCCTGTCCCCCATTTCTGTCTTTGCTGCAGTCTTTTAACGCAGACACGTGTGTGTGATATTAAAGTCCCCTTGTGTCAGATAAATAATTATCATCTCGCTTGTCCTGAATACTCCGTATTTACCAGTATTCTGCCTGAAAAGCGTACTACCAAATCCTGTTGAACATATCAAAAATAATTATCGATAAGTGCCCTGTCATGACTGTTAATTGAATTGCATATCCTTGACAAGGAAGTTCATCTAAACTGGCCAAGACAGTAGAAGGTGGTGACTGAGGAATTTCTCTCTACTAAGTACGTTTTTGAAATGCCAGACTTAATCAGCTAGAGTTGGCATTATCCCTCAAGCGTCTTCCTTGTGTTGATGGCATAGAGAAATGAGCTGCCTTACTTATAAATGAATTGCTGGACAACTTTATTTTGAATTACCACATTTAATTATGTTGCTGATATAATTTGCTATGATAAAATTAGTGCTTGTTTAGTTTTCGCATTCCAATGAGCTGTACAATGTATCTGTCTGAAGAAGATATCCGTTCAAGGAATACTATCTTTTAAAAAATTCATTATTCTGCCTGCGAAGTGGAATTGGAGTCCACAGTATCAATCTGATCCCTCTATTCAATAAATACAGTATCTCAAAATATTCAGTATGCTAAATAGCAATATGCCAATGGGATAGCAATTATAGCAATAAGATCTGAGACTGTTTCCACCATCTGTGGTATATACAATCCTATAAGAGCCGGGCTGATGTGTTATGAGCAGAATGTATTCAAATGATCGTGTTTTGATTTGTCAAAACCCAATGTTTATTAAAAAAAAAAACCAAATTGATGTCACTTAAAGGATTTTGTATTTTGTTGTTCACAGATAAGATTCTGAATTATCTTGTGCATAACTTGGCATGTTGAAGTTTTCTTGCTTTGTTTTTCAGCACTTAATTGGTGCACAGGCTTTTTGCCTTCCCAGATGTCAGGTTTGCGCCAATAGGGATTAGTCAAACAAGCAAAAAGCATTCATTTTTTTTTAAAGAATTTGATGTAAATTATTTTAGAAGGAAATAAACCTTTCTCTGAGTTACATGCAACTAAACATAACAACATTATGCCAGTGCAGGGGAACTAGAAAGTAAATTTGACTGAGCAGGGCTGAAACAGTGCAGACCTCTTTACAGCTGAGAGTGAAATGTAAGATTTAAGCAATCAAACTGGTAATGCAATTTTTATCTTAAAATAATTAGATTTCCACCTGTCTCCTGTCCCAAATAACAAGTGTAAAAGCTTTTAAAGGAATTTGTTTCAATTTTTGGCTCGTTTCCAGCCCTCTTAAGAACCTTCTAGCTGACTTCCTGTTTTAACAGTAGCTGCTGAAAGTTTCTTGAACTTGTGCAGCCCTACTGTACAGTTGCTGGGCCAGCTTAGCTGTTCTCCTTATCTCTTCATAGGGTAATGCTTGTGGCGAGGTGACATAAATCTTGCCTATATGGTATAGGGATGACCTGCCCACTGCTTAAGATCAAGCTGAACCTCTATAGTACACAGATCCTGAAAGAAGCAAAGTCCTGCAGCTGTGAGGGGAAAAAAGAAATGGGGGCTAGTCACAGGGGATGAATTCAGAAGTCCACACTTGTCTCCAGGGCTAGATTCCTTCAGCAGTCCTTTATCTGGGGTTTAGTCTGGAGGGACGCTTTGTCACATAGCAGCAGCGTGCAGCCAAACAAGTGCATCTTTCCTCCTTAAGTATCTGCGCAAATGGCTTAAGGTATGCCTAATCACTTAAAACTAATCACAGAGGCTGAGGTGGAAAAAGATTATATTCCCAACCATACATATACCATCTGTTTCTAATGTGTATGTAAGAACAATTCATATTCCTTCACAGTACGTGTAATTGAAATGTAGCTTTTGTAGAAAAACAGGTATGAAATGCAAACTATTTCTCTCAGTGACACTTGTCTTTTTTTTCCAGCATTAAATTGCATGTGGACACATTAATGTTCCTTCTCTGCCTGATGGACCCAGGCATTGAAAAGCCATTTGAACATAAGGATTGTGCCCAAATGCTTTATCAATTTAATTTCTCACATTGGCTTAGTTTTCTTACCTCTTGAGTTTCATTTTGCAGAACTAGTAGTAAAGAATTAGTAATGTTTTTCGTGTTGTGATATTAACACATCAGGAGGTAAAAAGGGTTACTTGAATTCTGAAAGCTAGAAAATCATTTTCATGCAAAAGCACCATTTTTAAGTCTCAGCTGGTATCCCATTAAAAGCAAAAATGCACATAGTGGTGCCTGATGTTTCCAAAAGATGTATGCATGAAATATAATGGATATTAAGAACCTTGGACAAAAGTGAAGTGTCAGCAAGTACTTGCTGCATTTATTTATTTTTGCTTGTACTACTGACACCACAAAAAATGTATATGTGAAAGGTGAGCTAGAAATAATTTTAATTATGGACTCTACATGTGACTGAATTTGATATGCTAGTACAAAAAACTGGATGACAGCCTTAATGTCTTTGTATTATTTGTACTTTGTACTCTTGCTTTAATAGTCATTCTTCCCTTGCATCTGGTGTGTGTTCTGGTGGAACTCAGGCTTACAAGTATTTTGTCTCCATATGGTAGCGGTACTCACAACGGGATAGGGTTGCATACTAAAAGCTAATGGCCTTATCAGCTAAAGGAGGGTCATAGCCTTAAGAATGATTCGTATTGAACCCTCTTCCCACAATACCGTACCTCGTGAGTGATCCTCACAAAGACTTGGATTTAAATTTAGGTTCCATACAGCTGTGCTGCCCATAGACTGTGAGGCAGATTGAAATGGTTTGCTGTTAACACCAGCAAAACATGTTTTCAGTGGAGGTATTGAGCAACTGGGTCTGCAATTTGTAACAACAATTTTATGAGAAAAATGTCACATACTAAACGTGTTTTATATCTCTCCTCTGGTTTGAGAATGTGATGAGCTCTGTAGAGATGCAGCCTGAACTTTAGTCTTCTTAGGCTCATCAGGTTTTTTGTCAGCTCTTCTAGAAGATCTGATTGCCTTGAAAACCTTTTAAAACATTCTTTAATTTTCTCACTGTTCTGTCAGTCCGCTCAACATACGTTAGCTTTGTGTTCCTCATCACTCAGCCCAATGTAAATGCACTTCACTGCATTTGGAAATGAATCATCGTGGTTGTTTGATTGCATTAAATAAAAATGACATCCTTTCCCATCAGACAGTTACAGTAGATCAAAACCAAAATGAAAATTCAAATGTTGAAAGCTGCTTCCTCAAACAGTGACAAAAAGTAGTCATGAGCAAATGAGAGCTGAAACACTTCAGTCATATTTAGTTCCACAAACAGGTTTTGCTTTTGGTCAGGCTTCCTGTATTTTGTGAGCTTGCATGTGTTCAACAGTGCGCTATGAACAGCAGCAACAGTTACTTTAATTTTGTAATCATGTGGCAAAGCAGTAAAATATCTGCAATGTATTTCATGGACAAAGATTCCAAGCTATCTAACTTATTTCAACAGGCAAGCAGTCCTACAACAGGAACAGCTCCCAGGAGTCAGTCACGGTTGTCTGTCTGCCCTTCCACTCAGGACATTTGTAGGTATGTGCTGAGAAAAATGTACTCTAATCTGGCTGATACTCATCAGTTGTTTTTATTAAATAATATGTAGCTCTTGCTTCTGCTTGACACTATTCATAACTTACATAGATAGTTTTCTTTTGATCTCTCTTTGGTTTGGTTCTGTTTTTGCTTTTCAGTCTCATGATTTTCTATTAAGATTCATGTTCTCATTTTCATCCTTTTTTTTGTGATTTCTCTCTTTCCACCTACCCTTACCATTTCCATCCCTTTCCTTTGCTTACTGCTTTGTCTAGATCTACTGCCTTGCATGATTTGTCAGAAGATGAGCTTGAACATGCAACCCCTGTCATGGTGCTGACCCCTTCTAATAGGGAGTCTGGTAAGAAACAAGTAAAACGAAGGTTTAGGAGGAAAAGAGAGCCTGGAGACAATGGTGAGCATACAGAAAAGCAAGGAAAGGGGAAAGACTGTAAATTGCATCCTGAGCCTGCGAGATCCAGCTGGAATGCATCTGATTCTTCATCATCTTCAGATGACAGTCAGTGGGCTCAGGCTAGGAGGAGAGCAAGAGAAAAGGCAAGCATGCCCAGGAGAGGGAGAAAGAACAATAGATCGTGCAGTAACCAGGAAGAGTCCTCAAGCAATAATGCTGTTGAACTGGTCACCTTGGGGACAATGGGGAAAACGAAGCAAGAGGTATCTGACCCTGAGAATCCTACTTTAAATCACCGCCGAAGAAGGGTTCCAAGGCTTAAGGAATCACAGTCTTCAGCATCGTCTCAGGAAGCAAGGATTTCCTCAAGAAAATGTGGGAAGAGCAAAAGGAAAAGCTACCGCAGAGATCAGCAGCCTGCTTCTTTCCTTAGACACAATAAAGATTCGAAGGACTGCTTTGCAGAGGCAGGCTCTGGCAGTGATGCTCTGGCAGTCCCAGATAATGGAGCACCTCCTGGGTCAGGGCCCAGTGTGACTGCAGCTGGTCAGAAGCCTCCAGTGTTGTATGATGACTGGTCTGATGATTTAGAAGTATGCAGGTTAGTCCCTAATAAGAAAGATTTAATGTTCTTAAGAGGAATTTCTCACCACCGTGGGCTGAGTGCCCTTCTCTTGACTGCTTTCTGTCACTGTTTCTCAGTAATAAACTGCTAGGCAGGCCATAAGAAATAACTCAAACACCTTTGCTACAGAGAAGTTAGTGTATCTTAATCCAAAGGCATACTTCTCTTATTTAAAAACAGTAATCCTACAAGGGAACCAAATGTTTTTCTTTCCTCCATTTTTCTTCATGAGGATGGATGCACTGTGTCCTCTGGCAGAGTATTACTGTGGTTTAAATCTCCAGCCAGAGGCAACAGAATGAGGCAGAGTGCCAGGTAGCTCAATGCAATGGGTTGTGGAGTTTTTCCTCCTTAGCAGTTCCAGCTTTGGTCCGTCTTTGTCATTTTTCATTGACTTAAATTAAATAAATTCATGGTCTTGATTCAGTGTCCTCTAGAGCTGGCATTGCCAGAGCAATGTGATGGACAGTGCCTGCAAAACACCCTCTCCAGTCGGACATAAGTTGTACGGGACTTTGCACTGCTGAACACCTGTTCGCTGTGAACTTGTAGGGTCTGTTAGTTCAGTACCCATCACAAGGACTGGAATGATACAGAGGATGATTGGGCAGAATAAGCATTAAAATAAACTTTGGGAAAGAAAAAGCAACACCAACAGTTCTCTCTAGTTCAGAAGTTTAGGCTTCTGACCGTCTGATACGCTTGGTGTGAAGCACGCAATCAGAAGGTGAGAGTTTTTCCCTGGAAATGAGAGCAAGCTGGCCACTTCTGAGATACAGTCAAATTTGGAGTAGACAGCTGGTGGACTTGAGTTACTTAATTTAGTGTTAAATGAAAATGCACCATCCTGTGAGTTTAACAGAAGTGAAACAAGTATTTCTTTGTTGGTTTGTTTGGTTTTTTTTTTCCCTCTCCCCAAACTCGTGAGCCAGCATTGACTCTCATCTACAAAGTGTAAATGAGGATTAGGCTTAGTTTCTTGATACAGTAGCACAAAACTTCTCACTTTTCTTTGCTGGGAAGGAATTTGCATGGAAATGTAAACACAGTCAGAATGAGGAAGTTCACCATGCCACATCATGCAGTATACTGATACTTCAACCTAGTAACACACTACAAAGACCTAGTCTTAAAAAGAAAAAAGATGACATGCAGGCATTGTGCTTTTTCACTGCAGGAGACAGAAGCCATTGCCAACACAGCTAGTGCTATGCACTTCTTGTTACACTTGCCAAGCAAGAATGGACATTTCAGTTGTCCGAACATTGTCTGTCATGATAATTTAAGATGCCTCAGAGTAAAGTTCAGCTGTGTTTGTACATCAGCTTGTATTTACATCAGGACCATACCCTGGCTTGGGATCTCTTCACCTTACAGAAATGCAAAGAAACAGCAGCAGTGGTAATGATGTTACACATTTTTGAAGCACTCAAAGTATGTCTACATGATATGATGCAGAGATGTGCACAGATAACTACTTCAACAACTTCAGAGTTGTCATAAATTTCTGAACCACCAAGCCTGCCTGTATTAAAGATCCAGTGTAGTAGGCACAGTACGTATATAATATAGGGCTATTTAATAATTATTAACTGAATATGAGCTACCCAAAAACTGAAGTAAACTATTTCAGTGTGGATCTTCATATGGCCTTAACTATACTGTGTTGAAAAAGAGATAAAGTTTTATAATTGTCTCATGTAGATTAATCATAACTGTTGCCTAAGTCCCCAGACTTAAACTTTGGTTTTAGGTGGAAAGTGGACTCCAGTCTTTTATCTGTCTTATTCACTGTTCAATTTTATTATAATTATTCAGGCACTTTTTGTAAGACTTTTTGTAAGAGCTTGGTTCAAGGATTGACTTTTTGGATGTGCATGCAAACTTTTCAGCTAGGGTCTTGTTTAGTAGAGGAACGTTGAAAACTTTTGATAGGTACGTGTCCCTGGGCTCACTATCAGTGCAGAAGCTCTTTGAACAACCAGAATTAAGCTCAACACAGTTGCTAACTTAGCCTGTTGTGCAAAATTTGTCAAGAGAGTCATAATTGTGTTTTTCTTCATGTCACGGGTAATACTGTATTTTTTGTTGTTGTCATTACTAGGTGTATCATAGTGATGATAATATATCTAGGAAAAAACATTACAAAATCAAAAGCATATTAATTTTTCATAGCTGGTAAGTTGTATCACTTAATCAATTTTCAGAAAGCTGAAGAAAAAGGAATACATGTTTTTACTACCAATTCGGTATAGACTGTAGTTTCTGTTTTTCAGGACAGGTTCACGCACTTAATCATCTCATGATCTGTGGTACGTTTTTCTTCAGATTCACAATCTTGCATCTGAAACAAAAAAAATAATTACATTTCAACACAGATGGGCACATATGCAGTGACCATTTTTCTGCATGAGAAACAGAAAAAGGAGGGTTTTGTGATGTTGATTCTAAGACTGGAATTAGAACAGCTGGTTGTGATGTGGAAAGTTTGTTTTCTTGAGATGTTTCTTCAAGCTTTTCATCCTAGCTATTCATGTCTTCTAGTTGATGTGACAGGCTGAGATGTGACTGGCTCTCACCTACATGGGATTGTGTGGAAATAGCAGAGGAACAGGAATTTTAAACATCTCCTGGTGCCAGTTATTTTGTCTTTAAGTGTTCGGGTAGACAATTTTTTTCTTTTACTTCCTCATGCATTACTGGTAGTGGAACACAGTGATGTGCATTTAGCTGCGTGAGCGGGAATGGGACAGGACACACCCAATCCAGCATAAGCACATTAGTCAGATAAAGTATAGTACCATGGTGCAATATATACTTCAGCTAGTCTAATATAGGCCTCTTGGTCACTTCAAATGAGACATTTCCCCTTCTAGTTTCTCTATTTCCAAAATGATGAAACAATGACATGACACCAATGATGATCTTTCCAGTCTCTTCCCTGAACATGCTCCTTTCTTCTGGAGTCCATTAGAAGGCAAGGATTCTGCTTCTGGGATTAGGGACAACTACGTAAATTCTGACCTGGCTGAGTTGTTTTGGCACCTGATTTTTTTTATTGAGATTCACAAGATACACTTTCTTAATCACACAGCTGGATCTGCCTTTTCTTAAGTTGCCCTGTGTCTGAGATTTTTCTTTGTATGTACTTTATTCTGGAATTTACCATGTGGCTTGAGGCAGAACCTCAGAAATAGCTTTCTTTCATCTACATGAGAGTGATCTCCCTGAAGGGAAAAGCTGTGTGGGGGACATGATAAAGTGAGTGGATTGTGAGGATTTAGTCCCATGGATTTTCACATGGGAATTACTAAGGAAAGAAAATTGGTTAGTTGATATTACTACTAGTGTATCGTAAGTGCTTTGTGTATTAACTCTGAATTAATGTTACAGTATTTTTATTATTTGTGATGGGAGGATGGAAAGATATTTTCTGTTTGACTACTTATGCTTTTGGTGTAGAATATTTTTGTAGTACTGATGCAGTCATTTCAGCAATAACACTGAGCTGTAATTAGCTGAGAGAAACCACACACACTTAAATAAGGTGGAGTTTCTCACTATGAAAAAAATGCGTATTGGAAGTAGACTTTTGATTTTGTTGAACTCCACAAATGACAGCCAGGTCATAGCAGACCCTCATTGGAGGAGTAAATAGGGCATCCTGGCAGGAATGGGGAGAAGTAAGGGAGATGCTGAAGTTGATTCCCAAAAGCTGCAGAATCTACTTCAAGTATATTATTTTTTAAATCAGTTTTAAAAAGCTAGTATATTAATTAAAAGGTCATTATAAACTCAGGAAAAGACTAATATGGATATTTCTATGTGTTAACACAATCATAGATAGGAAGAAATAGTGCACATTGATTGCACTTGACAAGAGGCAATATGATTATGTAGCTTTTCTCTGTGAAATCAAGTGTTGTAACAGGTTTTTTTCATAATATGATTTAGCAGGAC